CCAAACCAAACCAAACCAAACCAAACACCCACCCCGCCGGCGAACAAGAACAAGCCCGCAAGCGCGTGTCACGCATCACTCGCTCCCTTCTTTTTGGGAAACTAAATCTGCTTGCCAGTGTGTGGAAGGCACGCAACGCGCGCTAGACCACATCAGCTCGCCGCCTCACCAGACTGCGACCTGCGACGCCGACGGTTTTCATGCGCGTCCTCTGGTTGAGCCCCGACAGGCCCAAGTCCGCACGTCCCTCGCGACACAGAGATCCCTGTCTTGACGCTGGCATAATCTGGAGAACCGACCTGGTAAACTGGAGCGCTGCTTGTTGCAACTGCTACCGTTGGCTCTTTTTTTTCCAGCCACGCACGCGCAGGCAAGCACGGCGTAACAGGCGGTAGGGCAGGGTCAAGGCGAGAGCCCTTGCGGCGTGGTTCTTGCTCACCACACCCACTCCAACGCTGCTCCAGGGGCTGCCTGCGTCGCAACACGCCGGCACTGCAGCCTGGTCACAGCGTGGAAGCTCAAACCAACTTGTCTCCAACCACGTCAGCGTGTAGGCACGCGGAGCAAAGCACCCACGTTCTCACAGGAAACTCAGCCCTTGGAGATACGCGGCCCGCCACGCGCAGGTTTGGAGGTACAGTCCAAACACACAGCCGGGCCGGTACGCAAGGGAAGGCTGCAGCTTTAGCGCGGCTTGGAGCCTGTTTGATTGTTGACAATCACGAAGCAGTCCTTTGTGAGAGCCGCTTCGCCGGGGCGAGGTTGGGCGACGCAACGCCCTCCAGGAGCTCGACAGCGCCTTGCGAATCACAGGCACTTGTTGCAGCCCGCCCGACAGCTCTGGGCACAGGAATATTTTCAAAATCTGGGCAGGCCAAACCCTCGCGCGGCGGGCGCAGACAGTCCTGCTAGTCCGCAAATCTGCTCGGGCTGCAGCTCAAAGCGCAGCGCTGCCTTGCAGCCTTGTAACACATGGCTGCAAACTGCTCCTTTCGCCTAGTTGCGAGCATTCTTGCTACAGTTGGGGGCTGTTCTGGGAACTTACCATCTGGCAGCACCAGGTACCACAACTAGGAGCAGAAGGAGAGCTAGCCTTTGGACTGCTTAACTATGTCTTGTGAAGTGTCTGGAGAAGCAGAGGGGGTCACCTTGTTGGAGTTGATCCGCTCTGGAGCAATTGCACCCACAGTCTTTTCTCTGGCAGGCAAACTCTCCAAAAGCCGCTGCATTTTTTTGAAAACGAGGGCGGCTCAGCCTTGACATCTACCCCAAACCTCGCGCAAACTATTCAATTCCTTACTGAATTGACGCTGAGATCTTGCCGAGTTGAAAAGCCATTGAAGGCTGATTGAAGGCACGGGGTAAACATCTACAGAAAATGCCTTCGCAATGCTTTGGCTGCCGAAGATGAAGCAACGATATGCACAAAACTGCGATTCGCAACCTCGACCCCCCCCCCCGATAACCTGCCTTCAGGTTGCAAGTAGCAAGCCACAAGTATTAAGCCATCTGTCCCTCCCGAAGAATGTTGCAGTGTCTGGTAAACCCGAAACGCCATAATTACCTCTGCCGCAACGACTCGAGCACCCAGCACCAGGCACGGGCACGCAGCCGACCTGCCCAAGCAGTTACTTGGGCCCCAACTGGGGCAATGGGGTTCAAGTGCTGGAAGTCATTCAGCACAGAAATGTGAACAAAAGAGCCTGTATCAACCGGAGCCTGTGAACTGGAAATTCACCCGTCACGTGACTGGATTCGTCAGGGCTCTATACGACTCTGCTTCTGCTTGTCCCAGCCTCAGAAATCCGCCCCTCTTGCAAGACAAAGCCCAGTGAAGGCCTGACGGCTCGGACACGCTCACGCTCACGTGCCTCTCGCGTGCTAAATGGTCTGTCATAGAAAATGACTCGTGAAGAACTTCAGCCCCAAGGACCTATGTGTCAGCGCTACCCGGTTGCCGGTTGCATATGTGGATATACACCAGGTGCAGGCGAGTGACAAAATCAGCCCAGGTGCCGGGGACAAAGCCATTCAAAGCTCACATGGGGAGCTGCACCATTGCACCATACAAAAAAGCCTGGCTCCGAGGTCAACGTCGGATTCTGGCTCATTCTCTTGTGGGTTCTGTCAGGTGATACACAGGATCCACCTAACTTCTGCTTTCCTAGAAAACATCAAAATGGAGGCCTCACACATCCCTGGCTGCACAAATCGTGTTAAAAAAGAAGCTCATGTACTAAAGAGATCACCTCTTCGAGCCGAGCAAGGCAGCCACATTAACACATAGAACTCGCAACTGCCCTTCAGAACTTCAGGAACCCGTCCCAAGACCACAAGTCTGTGCGCGCTTTGCCGCCGCGTCTTTTGCCGCAGCTTTTGCCGTTGTCTTCTGTCGCACCCGTCTGGGCAGGTCTGTAGGCACCTCACGGAGGCTTGGGACCGCAGCAGACACAATCGGTTCAGTGGACGAACTGTGTCGATATTGGATTGCCGATCAAAGGGCAAGAAGGCTGCTCTCGTAAATCGGATCCGAGTCATTTCCCGATTCAATCTAGGTGGAATCTGGGGACTCGCCAGCTTTGGATCGTTTTCATGATTACACCTCGAGGTAGCAGCTGCACACTCACACCATCCCCGTTTCTGGGCCTCCAACCTCCACCCCCCTGCCCCACCCTCACCTCCACCTGGGCGGCCGGTGTCTCGCAGCGACGCAGTGCCACCTCTGGCATTCGGCTTCGACTCGCTCAGTACACCGAAGGATTGAAATTTGGAGTTCGACCTAGCGGCCAACTCAAGATGGGGTTGCTTTCACGCCCCTCCTAATTATTTCCCTTGGCCGCAACAAAGTCGTCCAGAATATGTTCCTGTGCCTTGAACAGCCCAATTCACATAGCGCGCCTCGGCCAAGTCGCTCTTGGTGTCCCGATTCTCCCACGCACGCTTGGAATTTGTGGTGACGTCATCCTCAAAATGCAACATGTCGCCGGGGTCGAAGCGGGCCCCCGCAGATTCCAGAACCATACGAAAACTACCGGGCAGTACATTGTTGAAGATAAAACGGTTCCACAACCTACGTGTTTTCATGTTCGGTCTGTTCATGGAAGGATCATGCTGTTGCCTTTTTAGAGCTGCCCACTCTGCCAATGGCAAAGCTTTCAGTGACCGAGGTCGCTGCTAACTGGGCGTCCGTCAAAGAAGTGCACCTCAGAGCCCGCACAATGGAGTCATCATGTGCCACCGGTTGTTTGCCCACAACTGACATCACAAGTTGCTTCGTCTGTACTTGGTTTCATATTGGACGGTAAACGGGCTGTTATGTGTTTTCCCAGTGCAATTGATGTTGCATCACCAGATATCTCGGAGCGAATTCCAGGGCAACTCATGGAAAGTATTGGTGTCGTGATAGGGTTGGACATTGCACAAACAAAAGTTGGCCTACGCCGCGTTTGTCTACAGGGTTTGGCCAGCACCCCACTAACATTGAAGTTAAAGCCAGCCTTTTCCACGGACAAGAGCTGAAACAACTCGCCAAACACCTCAGCAAAACAAGAGCCAAAAGAGGGAGCAGAAAAAAATGAAGAAGCAAGCAAAAGGAACAAGCCAAAACTGCCCGAGCGGCTCCCGAAGATGCTTCTTGGCGACCTCCAGGGCTGCCTCGCTGAGGCTCCTGACAATGGCAAGGTCGTAACGCTTTACCTTTCTGGGACGTGGGCAGCGAGCAGCCACGAGAGCAAAGTCCAGCACTGAAGACACTGATACATCCTGCTATTATTCGGGAGCAAACAAGCAAACAAAAGATCTACTCCTACCACCCAATCCATGAAATTCCACAGCTTCCCAGCTTGGCTTGTTGATTGATTCTTATCTGTGGACTTGACTCAAGCAGATCCCGCTCAAGGCAAATGAAGTCCAGGGCATGCATCCAGCCACCTTGGAAAGAGCTTCCGAATTTGGCCTGTACTGCTACCCAGTTTCCTGGTTGGCATTCCATCAATTGTGGTTCGAGTATGCTGATCAAAAGTTCTTCCAAATTGCGATTTGACGGCTCTATTCATTTCCAATACGCCGTGCCCACTCGGGGTCTTTTGGCCTCTGCGACATTGTCCGAAGCCCCGCATGGAATTCAACAAGGGATGCTGAAGCCTGAGCGGCACAAACACTTTAACTCCCAAACAGCAGGATCCACCACCGGCCATCCTCGCAGCTTAGCAGCCGTGGCAGCCATAGAAGTCATGCTCCCAATTACCGGCGAGCCCATCCAAACAGCTCCACACGTATGCACGCACGTACGCACACACGCACGCACGCACGCACGCACTCACGCACGCACGCACGCACACGCGCGCACAAAAAAAAGGAAAAATAATCACCCGCTCCTGGGCTCGCTGGGGCGGATGTACTTCATAAGCCAAGCCTTCCAGATCGCAGTCTTACGAGCAAGGGTCCTGCAAAATCCTTTCTCCAAGGGACAAGATTAAGCACAAAACCTTGGAGATTAACATTCGAAAAAGAGGAGTGAAGAGTCAGTGACGAGCACCACAACTAGATTTCTTGTTGGATGCCACACTCGCCAATTGCTAGAGACCTGGGCACATGTTTCAATTACACCCTTCCCATACGGAAAACACTTGCACGCAAGCCAAGCTGGAGCATTTTTTGCACTGTGTTTCTTTTCGTTGAGAACCCCAAGTCATGACAAGGGGAACAAATAGCATGCGAGCCGCACAGGGCTTACAGTACTTTGTGCGAGCGTGCATTTACTTCAATTTCGCACATGACTAATCTCAAAGTTGACTCTTCGAATAGAATTGGTGCAGGGTTTTGTTGTCTTTCCCGCTAGTAGAGTCTAAGCCAAACCTCAAAAGCCGCAAATGCCAAATCCAAAAGGTACAAGTGTCACCGCCAAAATGCAAAAAGAGCCCACGCTAGTTTGAAAAACAAACACAGCGGTGGAAAACAAGAAGTTGAAAAATGGTACCATTGAGTAGAATCATTGATTGATTTGTCTCTGGCTGGCAAGTGACGTCAAAAGCAGCGCTAAGATGTCTTCTAATTATGTGCAATCTCGCCTTGATGTGCTTGAAATCCGCACCTCATTGCGCACGCAAGGATGTTTCAAACATACTGCTGCTAAGCAACTCCAAATCAACCTCAACACTATGCTCTTCTCACCTCGTGTGCGCGGCCGTTTGGGCCTGAAACAGGCGTTTGTTTGAGAGCACTTTCTAGGGCTCTGACCGAAAAATCGATTGGGGTAAAGGAAAAGCCGCCTGCAGGTGTCCTGCAAGAAAACAAACGCCTGGACCTGTGCAGATCTAAATCTAAGGGGCTGCGAGCCCTGCCCGGTGGATGATCGGGTCTTCAAAAAGTTCTCATTCGACTTGGCTACACTTCAACACCAGAAACACGTCAATAACTGAATCAAAGAAAAGGCAAGTTTCAAACAAATGAAATTACAAAGCACCCCACCCCAACCCCCCCCCCATGTTGCTTTCGGCTAGGGCTCCAGGCCTAAGCCGGTGAAGCCAGTGATGTTGGACCCAGCCGCACCTGGACCTCATGCGGCGAGCATTGGATAAAAGTCACTCGCTTCCCCCAACAAAAACTTGGGAATTGGGAATATCGGGTCCGCCTAACTTTTGGCTCACCCATGTCCCCCCAAGGCACCGGACAACAGTCTTGGGTCTGAGTTTTCATTGGGAACCGTTTGGCGAACTTCACGTATCTGGGGATGTATGTCCGCCATCTTTTTGAGGGTGCCCTCATAGAAATCATAGCCACTTGAAAGCCATGTTTTGCCTGTTGTTTCCGTGAAGCATGCGTTACGCCTTTTGGGGCCAGCAGTATCTCTTGGGCTTTGTTTAGCCAACGACAAGCAGAATCGACAAAAGCCCCACAATCAAAAGCCACGCAATCATCCCCTCGATGAGGAGCAGTGGATTCTGGGAACCTCTGCAGACGTCACGCTGAGGGGGCAAGCAACACGGTTTGGGCTGCAAATCAGACGACCAACACAAAAATCCCCGGTGGATAAAGGAATCCCGGAACAGTGATCAGGAAAACAGTCCAAGTAGGCCTCTAATCAGGAAAATAAACATTAACCCCTTCCACTCCGGGACGGCGGCTCTTGGGAGCCTCAAGCTTCGGCTCGGAGCCTGAGCAAGGGACAATTCGGCGATCAGGGAGCCCCCATCTTGGCCCAAGGGAACGGTTTGAATTGCTTTGTTTCGTGTTGAACAAACACAAGCATGAAACGCCCAGGTTCACCATCTCCGATCATGGTGCTTTTGCGGAAACGAAACGATGCAAGCAAAGAAGCGCTGTATTCCAGTGTGTGAGACATTGGAGCGTCCTGCCAGCGTCTTGCCAGCAAACAGGTCTACATCCCGTAGAGGCCATGTGCTGGGGGCATGTAGAGGGGGCGGTGTCAAACGATAAAATATGAGTTTGCTTTTCTGAAGACTTGGCAGCAATTTGCTGCACCTGCAACTTCGACCGATTCGGGTATCTCCACTCTGAAGAACTGGCTGGAAGGGCTGGGCTGTTGCCAGAAAACTTGGGTACCCCAACGGTCGGCTTGTTGGTTTGCTTTGCCACCGTTTGTACTGTTTTGAAAGCGCCTGCAAACAGGGCCGAGCCTTCCGGAGCAGCTGGCCGCATGTTGCGGAGCTGCACCTCTCGGAAAGCCAAACGAGCCAGCTCACTTGCACAGCGGGTTGATCACATTCGTCGGGCAACTCCAAGACAATCTGCAGATTCAACAAGAGCCAATGCAATTCAGCCCCAGTGGTCAAATGATGTCCATTATTTGACCATTATTTTATCCCTAGCCGAAGGGAGGGAGACACATGTTCGCAGCCCACTTTGTCACACTCTCTCCAAACGCTCCACGCCTCGTCTGGAGCGCCCCAGGCGTGCAGCATATTGCCAGCAAGGATGCCCTCCGCGTCCGGGCGGTGCAGCCGGCCTCTCACCTGCGGCCAAAAGACTGAACCTCGCTTGCCGGAAATGTGGGTTCACCAAGTGTGGCAGACTTGGTTTTGGTTCTGCAGCTGCCAAAACTCCCGCCAAAGTGGCGTGAGTGCTGGACAAACAAACTCATCTGAGGGCCGCACGCTGGGATCTCGCAAAAGATCGAGGACCGACAGGCATTGAGGGTACACGATCTCAGCGAGACTCCGAACATGAAGCTGGTCATTCAATAAGTCAGAGTCGCCTCTCCCTGCAAAGTCCAAAATGTGTGGAAAGAACACACAAAATCAGCCTGTTTGCAGGTGCATTGCACATCACACCAACTCCTGGTGACCAAATCAGTACTCTGCCGACTGGCAGCTCTGTCTTGGTGTCTCAGGCCGCGGCGTAGCGGACGTATTGCGGGCGCCGCCAGTACGTCCTCACAAGGGCGGTGGCTAAATATACAGCCCAAATCCACACGGGCATGCGACAAAACTGATAGGAGAACATTAACCTGAAATCAATCAGATTCCAATCGGCACTTTGCCATACCCCGATCGCAAAAGCCTGTTGTCCGAAACCTGCTTTGGGCGTTCGCTTCTTCCAGTCGTCCTGAGGGCGCCGCAGGTACTCCAAGAATCGTTGGAACCCCACGTCCTGCAAGAAGCCCTGCGCAGCCAGCCACTGCCTGGCTGTGGCATGTTTCCCCCGAATGCAGCCTGGCGGATTTTCCAGGTCGTTTCCCTAAAAGTGAAGGGTCCCCTCTTAAATGAGCGCACGCCCGGTGAATTCCACAAAAGTTGACTGGGTCAACATTATCTCTGTCACGCCACTCAGGGAAACTCCGGCGATGCCTTAGCAGGAACTGCCAGGTCAGCATTTGCTCACATATCAGTTTGGCCTTCAGTGCCCACCCCAAAGCAACCCGCCGGCGGAGCACGTAGGTCGGATTCGCCAGGCACTGGACAAACTCCAACTCTTCAGCAAAGCGCCGCGACCTGTGTCGATCTAACCTCGCCAACCACCAGTGAGTCATAACTGTCAGTGCCTTTTGCGTGTGAATGCAACCAAAGGAAACAGCAAGAAATGCAACAAAATGGGCTGGCATCACCGTCGCAATCATCACCACTACCAACTACCATTACTTCCAGTAACATGTTTTTTTATTGCCCTTTATCCCAAGTACACTCATCACAAATCATTCACTGCTCGAACCCAACCCTAAGCCGCTGCCCCTTCGACAGAGCCTGTCTCGCGCCAGGTCCTGCAACTTGGCCCTCAGCCTCAGTCCACGAGACCTACCCTCCAGGTGCGGGTACGAGTACTGCAACCCAGTACTAAGAGAGCTGGTTAACAAATCACAGTGTTGACTCAAACCATGGCAAACGCTATACTTTGGATTTCTTCATGCCTTCCTTTGGTGAAGTTGGCAGGCCGAAGGCGATCCTGGCCGAAACCTGCGGGCCCCGAGTATTTTTGTCATTTTGGGCCAAAAAGGGTTGCAGAATGTCTCACAGAAGCCCCGACTGTCTGTTTCTGAAACTAAGCCTCGGAAATCTTGTGCCTACATAGCGTGCCATGCAAGCGAAACATGCCAGGTGTGTACAGTACATGTGGACCATAGGCTTACAGGAATCGGCGCAACCCTCGCAGCTTGCTTTGCATGCTCCAATCCGCCGAACAATTGCGCCACGAAAACACCATAGATAAGATCTCATCGGAGGCAAAGCATGAAAAATAAGCCCTTTCCCTATTTGTCCCTTTGTGGTCGTTGTAAACATCACATCACTTTTGGGCGAATGTAAAGTGATCTTCCTTTCGATGGGGGTGATGTTTTGCGTCGACATATAGGGAACCTTGGTGAAAAGGTGGGCCTCATGATATCGCTGTATTGGACCCAGCCGAAATGGCCAATGACCGTGCGAACCGGCCAAGGCGCGCAGGCCTGCCGCCCGCTTCGGGGACCTTGTGGCCTTTGTGGGCCTCCTCACCCGAGATCTCGCCGTCCGCGTGGCCCAGGAGCCTCTGGGCTAAACAAGGAACCGTCTCCAACTCGAGTCGCTTACTTGGTATCCTGTCGAGGGATAATCAAAGGGAAAGCCATGCTGGTTGAAGGGAAACCAAAATGGATCGGGAAGTACACAAGTACCTTTGAGCAACCTCAAGTAGCCTTGAGTAACTCGAATTCAAGTGGCTTCGAGTAGCCTCCGGCATCTTCAATCGGAACGCATGTGTTTCAGCACATGTCATATTAATTGAATGCACTTAAAATCAACCATCACTATCATGGAAAGCAGGGAAACGGGATAGTCTGCTTTCGTGCACCAAGGACACTCAGACACTCAGAGCCACACTCGCCGGAGAGTTGCCACACTTGCTTCCTCAGATGCTGCCGCCCAGGCTCATGAGCCAGCTTGTTGGCATAGGAACTCATGCTCCTTCCAAACTGGACTGACAGAAGTTGTTCCTGCTGATACGGGCGATTTTGGCCCTTCAATTCATGCAAAACCCCACTGAATTGCATAGCCCGTCAGCTCGCTGGTCAGCATGTCACGCTTCGATCGACACCCTTCAACACGTGTGGCCAGCCCCAAGAAAAGACCACGCCGAAACCAGAATCCCTGTCCAAAAAAAACAAAAACATCCGCTCATGTCCCGCTGATGTCCGCTCATCCCGCCGCTTTCCGCTCATTTTCTGGGGTGAAAACTGGCCGGCCAAAGCAAGGTGTCCGCTCACTTCGTTCTTTCCGCTCAAAATCTGCAACGAGCTACAAAAATGCCCAGACTCTGGGATTGGCTGTCGTTCCTGCGTCGCATTGCCAATGAGAACACTACGACCTGCGTGCGCCCAGCGAGTCGAGCAAAGGCGCTCCACTCGGCGCCGCCTCTGCTCCGCCGTCTCCGCAAGGCGCCGCACCTGCAAACTTGGGAGTGCGCTTCGGTCTGGGAAGTCGAGGTGCCTGAGATCTCTGCTTCCTTTTGCCACCGCAACCAAAAATTGGACCGGCAAGAAAACCATCGGCTCCCGTGTCGGTTCCTCCCCGAGTCGCCTCTGGTGCAAGCTTGGCGTCCTGGCAGGAATCACTGTCGGTAACGCACATTTGTTGTTTCCAGGGCACGGAGAGAAAACTTGGTATCATGAAACTGTCGCTCGTTGCATGACAAAAACAGCTTTGCTCACAACCCTCATTTGTCCTCAAGCTGCGTGCTACACTTCACTCATTGCTCATCTGCACACAAGTTCTTTGACTCGCTGTTTTCTTTTCTTTTCGGGGGGGGTTGACTACAAAGGGAATGAAGTTCCCCGATTTCGAGACTCCATCCATCCCAGACTCCTCCTGCTGCAGCTCCAGCCAGGCAGACTGAAAGCTGGCCTTGTCCCAGGAGACCTGCGCTTCGCACGTGTGGTCGCACGTGTTTCCAAGGGACCCTCTCGGGTGGAAGGTCTCTGGGTTGATGTCTGTGCGTCTCTGATGGCCATTTGCTCATGTCTGTGCCGCAAAAATGCTCCGCCAAAACAAGGTCGTTTGGACCACCAGGTGCAAGAACTTAAATTGCGCTTCCGAAGCAATGCCAAAACTAGGTGTTTCTTGAAAAAAAACGTACTCTTTGCTTCAACCCCTCCATTATTGGCCCCTCAAAACTGACTGGTTTCTGGCTTTGCTGTTCCTTTGAAAACCACTGGAACAGGCAACCCTCAGTGCTGACATCCTACCTCCCACATGACCGCTCCCACCCACCTCCTTCGGCAGTCGCTGCACCAATTGCTGGAATTGGCCTCCCGACTCCACCAGGCCTCGTCCATGATATGCAGGGGGGACTCAAATTCCCTTTAGTTATACACATGTTTCCCGTGGTTTCCGCATCTTGACTACGAATATGGTTGATGATTATCCCCATTCCACTTGAGCCCACATGCTTGCAGGGTTCTCGAGGTCTGCGCAAAAGCCCAGCTGAGGCAACGAGCCTTGCGCCAAGTCTTCTGCCAAAGCTTCCCACGCAGCCTTGCCCTGGCAGCACGAGAGCTGACGAGCTGACCACGGGCAAGAAACAAAGGCATCCTCAATAAAAAAGGGACACACATGCATGCACACTTATCCATACATAGATAGATAGCTAGACACATAGCTAGATAGATAGATGTGTTTCACACAACCACATTCTCGCGAGCAGGAGCCTGCGCGGCTATGTCCGGCTTCAAGAGCGCTTTGGCAGCATTGTTCAGGCGAACGATGAAGTCCTCTGCTAAGCAAGCAGGCAGTTTTGGTTCTGATCCCCTGCTTGCTCTGGCCCCAGTGACGGCACAGACGCCTTTTCGCCAAACGGCCGAGCGCGCGTTTCCATGCGCAGCTTCCAGCTCAGCTTGACGGGCGCGGAAGTCGCTGCATTGCACCGACGAAAGCACGGTAGAACGCAGGTTGGTCGCGGATCCTTACACACTGCTGATTTTTTTACACTGGTGTGGTGGATAGCTTGCCATGTCGGCATGAACCCAAAAAGAGTAATCACTGCCTCATCACCGTGGCTCTGGCCTCATGGCTGTTTTCCGCCAAGCATCTGCCGCAGCAGCAGGCAATTGGGAGGCTTTCCCCACTGGCCCTTCCAGTCCGCGATGGACATGCCCTTGGTGATCACCCCCGCAGTCTCCACCTCCACGCGAACCTCCTCACCCTCAAAGAGGTCAGGATGAACCAGATACCTAGCATGAGAAGCTGATATGTGTATATATATATATATATATATGGTTGTATCACGCTGACGTAAATGAACAAACCATATCTACATTATATACATATAAAGATATATATATATATATATATATTATACATTTGCCTCGGCCCCGTCAGGTCTATCCGTGCTCCAGCTGCCTCCAGCTGCACTCACCAAGCGTGCAGCTAAGGCGAACCACACAGCCCCTGGCGCCCAGACTGCGGGCTGCGGCCAGCCCCGAGCGCAGGACGTTGCTCCTACGGTTAAGCCCCTAGACCTTCATCCACCCCACAGCTCCCACCCCTCAGCTCTTGGAACTCCACCGTTGCCGCATTCATGCGTGTGGCCACGCATTCCTGCGCGGATACTTTCACGCAGCTGATGCTTGCACGTATGGCCAGGCATGAACGTCGGTTCTTGCCAGCTGCCCAGTTTCCCACACCAGGCCCTGGAGTAAGAATGGAGACCAAAGGAAGCCTCAAAATCCAATAGCGCCTGACTGAGACTGAGAGGGGCAGCGCGAAGCGTTTACAATTGTGGTCCGCCCACATCCGCCCATATGTCTGAACCAGCACTGCAGCCTATGCATTGCCTGCTTGCTGACCAAGCCGCATGATTGGAACTGCATCATGCGCCGGCGCCAGGGTCTCACCCCAATCCTTAGTCTTTGTATGCATCAGGCCCTGTATGTACGACGCGAGGCCTGAAGACCGGCAAGTTCTCAGACTTAAAGCTGCTGAATGACAGCCAAGCAACATGATAGACGGTGATGAAGTTCTCGCACAAGTCCCAAATGAATTGCGAAAGGGGCAAAGATGACTCTTTGCATGCCTGTCATCAGGCTGAACCACCATTCAAAGCTGTGTTTTTGCCGAGAACCCTCAGGGCTCATTGCATATCGCCCTGACATTGAGTTTACTTTATGGAAAATAAAGATGATACTTGGGCGAAGTTCAAACCTGTCAGCACCCACCAAACACTCCAACGACCAGCCTTCCGCAGGGGCAGCATGTCTGTCTGGTGCGTGATGTCCAAACCTTAACGGCCCGAGGTTCCGGGCTGAAGCACGCAGGGGGGAGGGGGGGAAGGGAATGTGGGTCTGGTTAAGATTTCGGAAAAGACCCCAACCGAAAACTTGCGCCAAGCCACCAGCAAGGACGACCCGGCGGAAGCCAGCTGTCAACACGGCCTGTCCATCAACTTGTTGGGTTTCCCTCACATGGAACGGGCTTCCTTGGGTCCAAAGGTCCGAAACAAAGTGCTCCGTGCCTGTCGCATGTTTTTAGCCGGGCCTGCCCACACTCAGCACAAAGCAGGGCTCCCTTGTCTCTCGCTCAGAACTGCAGGTTTGTCTCGGCCGGCTCGTCTCGCAGATTAACTCTTTGAGTGTCTGAGGCTGCATCAGCATCAAACAAGATACATTGGAGACATGCCCTTTACACCTTTAAGGCAATTGACGTAAACACCAACAAAATTGGATGAGGTTCTTACATTCATGGTCGTTCTGGTCTTCCCAACATTCTCTGCTCCACTGTTCTTGGTGTTGAAAAGAGGGTGGGTAAACGGGCGGATCTTCCTCGTGTGACATCCGTTCTCCGGGAAGACAACGGCAAACGATCCCAACATCACACTCGTGCGGTCGGGTGCGTCGGGTGCGTCGGGTGCGTCGGTCGGGTCCCACCTGGGCCGCCTCGGGGCCGTCGAAAAAGTTGGCCTCCGCCGAGGGCGTGCGGTTGCCGCGGCGCTCCCCGAAGGCACCGCCCATGATCACCACCTCGCCTCGCTGCCGAACGCAACTGGCAACTGAAAAGGGCGAGTGTGTAGGGTCAAAGAGCAGAAACATACCCAGCGCTCAACCGGATACTTGTAGACTCACGAATTCTTGCAACAGACCAAAAGATTGACGCTCGGTTCTCCCTAGCTTGAGATGATGCGATCCCCAAGTGCAAGTTCAGGGTCCTGCACCCCAACAACACACCTCAAATGACCTAATGCCTCATCCGCCCAGGCACGGACCAGCTCCGGGAGGTCGGGATGCTCTTGCAGTGCGGAGGCCACGTTGTGAAGGGAAGCGATGCAGACCAGCGTAACCTCCCCAGGATGTCCTTAAGCCAAGACTCGGATTTGTTGATTTAGTTAGATATATATATATATATATATGTGTGTGTGTGTGTGTGTGTTACATGTGTATATATATATATATATATGTTCCAGGCCGTGACCCCACCCCCCCCCCCCCCTCCCCCCCCAACCCCCCCCCCCCCCCTGTGGGGGTGGGTGGGGTGGTGGTGGGGTTGTGGGGTGGTGGTTGTGGTTGGGCCAACCCCCCCCCCCCTGTGGGGGGTGGTGGGGTGGTGGGGTGGTGGGGTGGTGGGGTGGTGGGGTGGTGGGGTGGTGGGGTGGTGGGGTGGTGGGGTGGTGGGGTGGTGGGGTGGTGGGGTGGTGGGTGGTGGGGGGTTGGGTGGTGGGTGGTGGGTGGTGGGTGGTGGGTGGTGGGTGGTGGGTGGTGGGTGGTGGGTGGTGGGGTGGTTGGGGTGGTGGGGTGGTGGTTGGGTGGTGGGTGGTGGGTGGTGGGTGGTGGGTGGTGGGTGGTTGGGGTGTGGTTCGGAGTTGGTTTGAGGCTTGGTGGGTTGGTTTAGGGTTGGTTCAGGGTTGGTTCAGGGTTGGTTTGGTTCAGGGTTGGTTCAGGGTTGGTTCAGGGTTGGTTTGCGGTGGGTTTCGGGTGGGTTTGGGGTTTGGGTTGATTTAGGCTTAGGGTTGGGGTTAAGGAGGGGTTGCAGGGTGGTTTGGTTTAGGGTAGGATGTTGCGAGAGGTGCGGGGGTGTTGGTTCACGGGGTGAAAGGGGGTCTGGGACCGAAGCTGCAGGGCTCGCACGGTACTGGACAGCATCCCCAGCATTGCCAGCATCATCCCCAAGATGCGGATGATGCGGGGGAATGGGGGGACCATACCATTGGGGGGGGGGGGGGGGTACGTGGCCCAGGGACTGGTACATATATATGTGTAGTTGTATATATATCTATATGAACACATGGTCGAGCCCTCACCCCCCCCCCCAATCCCCAATCCCCCCTCCACCCCCCTCCCACCCCTGTGGCGTGGTCGGTGGGCTGGTTGGAGTCAATTTAGGGTTGGGTTCCGGGTGGTTTTCGAGTTTAGTTTCTTTTTTTGTTACGTATATTTTATTTAAAAAAAAAAAAAAATGAAGGCAAAGCGAGAGAATCCAAAAAGCAAAAACCCGCCCTACTCTCAAGCCCATGCAAGTCTGAGACACTTTTGCAAACATCGTAGATCAGCTCCGGTGCTGGCAGCTGGTGAAAGCCTGAATAGTCCGCATCACGCTTGCCATATTTCACACCTTGGCAGTCGCTGTGTTCTCCATGGATCAACATTGAATGAATGTAAAGAGCCAGTCGAACATGCCCATATTCCCCTTCTCAGTCAGTAAAACGTGAATGACAGCTGCCATTGCAACAAAAAGCCAGGGTTGCGCAAAGGCACAAATGACAGGCAGGCGCAAAGCACCCCGACGAGCAACCTACATTGCCCATGTGGTCAGCTCCGTGCACCAGCTGCTCCTTCATGCCTCGACGCTTGACTGTGGCACCTGCGTCCGCGGCTGAGAAAGCACCCCTTGCAGGCAATGATGAAACTCGCGGGACTCCCATATAAAACCGCCGAAACAAGTCCTTCTGGCACTTTTGGTTCACCTGTGTCGGGGCTGGAGATCCATAAATGTGCAAACATCCTTAGCATCATCAAACTTGCCGCGCAGGGTGCAATCTCGAATAACCCGGCACTTTTGTCGTTTCACGATATTTCGATACTCTCAGTTGTTTTCTCAAAGCCTGACTTTTTAGCAGTCATGCAGTCTCTCCGTTACATGTCTCTATAACTGCAATCTGACGTGACACTCCAAAGATGCCCGATGGAGGAAATCCAGCTCTACCCTCATCGATAAACAGCCTTCTGAGACATCTCCCTCAGGCTGCGCGCCCAGGCTTACAGGCACCGTCTCTGCGTTCGCCAAACGCAACAGCAGCTTGGCATTCGAACCTCCGGAAAAAAAGTGGGAAAGTAGCTCAGCCAGAGTGTTTCTCACTGAACCAGAATTCCAACGCAAATGAAAACGAAGGCTAGGTTTCTATGCAGCTCCATCAGCACTGCTCCAAAAACGGCACATCATTCAATAGCGGACATCGTCACTGCATGCGGATAAACTTCGGGCGAGGCACCAAGCGCTCGAATGTCCTGGCGCGCGCCAGTCTCCAAAGATGGCGACCAAAAGCCAATGAACGTCTTTTTGGGGCAAAAAAAAAGGACGAAAAAAGATGAAAAAAGATTCAGCGCCGCTGTCCTTGCCGTTGCCCATGGCGATGGACAGAGCCTCCACCTGGAGCTCTGGGCAGCCCAGGGCCAGCAGAATCGCCAAGGCGTCATCCACACCTCGCTGGACCGACCCCTTACTGAGCCTCCGGCAGTCTGGGTACTTCGGAGGTCATTCCAGTTGGGAAGGCAAACAGAACCGGGATGCTAATTAATGTGGCGAGTTATCGCTCTGATACAAAACCGCCGTATCCCTTGAAGTTTCATCGCACAAGCCTGGGTCGGTGTCAATGATGATGCGCCGGGGGGAACCTCGGATGTGCATGCTGCAACAAAGGGTACAGCAAGGGTTGAAAATAGCCTTTTTAACACGAACCGTGCCGAGCATCTCGCAGGTTCACATTCTGCGGGTGTTGATTTCAGCCAATGGCGAGCAGGCACGGTAAGTGCCAACACCTCGAGAAAATAAAATAAAAAATGCACTCCTTCGATCTGAAATTGGCCACAACCACTAATCAGCACCACACACACACACAGCGTACTCTGTGCAATGCTTGAAACTCTCCTTTGCCAGTATGATGCGTTCCTCTGCGCAAGCACCATAATGCCAGTCCGCTAAATAAGTTCCGTACGCCCGCAACGTGAGAGACTCGGGCACGCGTCGCCACTCGTCGGAAGGCATGGCTGAACATGAGAGGCTGGAAGCACCTCAATCGCTGGGTTCATAGTTTGGCTACGCCCAAAATCGCGCTGCAATCTACATTGCAATGGAAGCAGAGCGCAACCAGTCCATGTCGCGAAATGATGTTGAACTGGGTTTGCATGTTATCCCATGGTGGCATTGTCCCAAAATGCATGCGTGAGACCCTGTACTGTTTGGCCAAGCGCGGGGAGGCGAGCATCACATCAATGCATGCATTTTGTGGCGTGCTTGCAAATCTTGTGTACCATGGTGCTTGGCAGAAAGCATGGCATTCAAATTCTGCCACTACCCCGCTCCTGCGTAAGCACGTGCAGCTGCGTGACAGGGCTTCCAGATTGAACTTCAGACATTCCACAGCAAAACAGTGGTATGGTCTGATGTTCTTCACAGTGCAAATGGACGCAGTACGAACGCAAACTGTTTGATTGTCTTCTGGCTGGGCGACATCAGCACAATTTGGCATCACAATTACCATCATAATGCGCATAACGTGTATATCATCTGCACATAAACTCGAGCCACAAGCGAACTGTCTGGCAATCAAGCATTTCAAAACATGGGCTTGGTTCTGATTCGTCTGATTCCGTGTCGCTCCCAAAATTGTGCTATGAGGTGAGCAATTTGGAGCGGAGTGCCTGGCAATACCAAAAACGGAGGCACATGTGAACAAAGCATGAAATAAGAAAGATTGAGTAAGCCCCATTCTGCAAAAGCTCCCGCGCTGCATATGGGCAGCAGGCCATATTGCCAATGCTGAAGCAATGTCATGTGAGGCTGTGTCAAGCAAAAGCAAACAAGTAAAAATACACCAACTGGAACCTGCGCGGCGATGTTTGTTCCCAATCGCCGACCTCTACTCTTTTTGGTTGCTTTACAAACTTGCACCCAGTTTCAGAATCCAGGCGATTACCAACTTTTAGAATTCGGGTAACGAATCCTGCCGAGCCCAGCAACGCGCGATTCATTGGTTGAAAACACAATGAGGAGGAAAACCTTTAAATACAAACCCGGAAAGCGGAAAGTGTGCGATACGGTGGCGTGGCTGAAAGTTCGGCACCCCTGCTGACACAAACGCCCTTTACTACTTGGTTTGTGCCAGTTGGTCTGTGTGCAACTTTGTCCAACTGAATGGGTCTGTTCAGGGTGGTTTGCGCAAGTTTTATGCAACTTGCCCTGTGCAAGTTGACTTGCGCAGAGCAACTTACACGGAGTTTGTTTGTTCCACGCGGCCATTTGCGATCACACAGGTCCGCAGTTTTACCAGACTGGAAAACGAACAGCTGCGGAAAGTCACAACCGAAACCCAAAAAAACACGGAATCAAACCACAAAACAAAACACGGCGATGAGCGAATCGCTGAAGGCGATCTCTGCTGAGATCTGCCCAGTCATTGCGGCGTCCGTGTGGGCTGCAGAAGCACGTCATGAGCATGAGCCCACGCGGCTACCAACTGCAGGAAAATCTGCAAAGGCCAAGAAGTACTAGACAACTTGTTGATGCCTGCTTCTGTGGCTGCATTATTTGCGCCGGAAGGCAGCAGAAGGCATAATGTCCTGTCCTCCGCCTATGTGGCCATGAGTGGCCTGTAACAGGGCAATTTTTTCCCAGTGTCGCCTTCCGCATAATCGCCCGGTCGACTGAAAAGACTCTGTCCTCATGAAGCAAAGGACGGAGAACCCAAACGAATTTCCCAAGTACAGGCGGGCACATGCAGGTGAACGAAGGGGCAGGTACACGCATGGCTCAGCCATGTGTTCCCACCACGTGGGCGCCTTACGGGCCCACTGCCTGGCATCAGCCACACGTGCCGGGCCTCCACAAGCGCGCGGCCCCTGCGGCGCGCGAACTCCGCGGGGCGCGGCACGCGGTTGCCCGCCGGTCCCAGAAGAGGCAGCGCTCCAAGTCCATCTTGCACTTCACGTGCTTGCCCTTGGCGCTCACCTTGACGGCGCGCTGCAGCTGGCTCTCAAGCTCGGTGCGGGCGGCCCCCGGGGGCTTCTGGAAGACGATCATGTTGTTGATGACGCCCTGCTCCACCTCCTCCGTCCACAGCTCCAGGTCGGTTGCTTGCAAAGCACACGCCCACCCTCTGGCCCCGGCATTGGTCTAAACGTCCAGCCCCGAGTGCAAGCTTCATTGCGAAGTTCGGCTCCTTTTTTATCCGCAGGAAAAAATCCGGTCCGATGAACGCCAAGTCTTCTTGGTTGTTGCAGCGGCGGTGATCTTGCTCTTTAAAAATGCAAGAGCACCAAGTCGGTGGGCAGGGCCTTCGAGGCCGTGTCAAAATTTGAGCCCATTCTGTGCAATATCGACCCCGTCGCGCGACGACGCGCCGCGGCGCTTCTGGAGGGCGACGCGCTGGTGCTCAGCGCCCTGAAATCATTGCGCACTTTGACCTCTTGATGTGGGTCATAGAGAACCCGGCCACCGGGCTGCTGAAGACCCGGCCGTTATGGAGCCCTGCCCTGGGTGGACGTGACTTACTGCAAGTCGGAACTCCTGTGGACCATGCGCTGGAGGCCGAGGCGGAGCCTGTGCAGGCTCGGCAGCCGCTGCAAGGCGTGGCGCAGCGGGGGCCGCGGCTGATGGAGGGGCAGTGCGAGAGGATCAGCCAATCACGCGGCTGCTACAGCGTTCCTGCTGCGCTGTGGAAGGAGATTGCGCGCGCGGCCTCCTCCAGAGTGGCTGAGCAGTCCGGACTGAGTCTTCCTCTAATCCGAGGAGCCTGGAGGAAGCCCATTTTTCCATGTTTTTGAGTAGTAAGGAATGTCTGCTTATAGTAACCTAATTATTTGGGGTTTTTGGTCCCAAAACAGCCAAATTCTTCAACCCGCTGAACGTTTTTCCGATGTCACCGGTCGATGTCACCGCTCCGTTTTTGGTGCAAAAAGCGCTGAAAACGGCGAACTCCGAAAAGTGCGTTTTTTTGTGTCCGGCGTCAAAAGTGCAGCCTGGGCCTCCAAATTCGCTCGTTTTCCGCCGAAAACCTGCTCCAGGTGTTTGCAGTGCTCCGAAATCCGTATTCTGCCTCGAAAAACCTGCGAATTCCAGCCCGCCGAGCTTGTCACCGCCGAAGTCACCGGTCTCTAACACGTCAGCCCGCCGAGGCACAGCCCAGAGTCAGCCAGCGTCTGACGCGGCAGCCCGCCGAGGTGCTCCCGAGGAGCACGTCAGCCCGCCGAGGTTTTTCCACGTAACGCGTCAGCCCGCCGAGCTTGTCACCGCCGATGTCACCGGTCTCTAACACGTCAGCCCGCCGAGGACCGGGGAGGAATCGATCCTCCGAAACGTCGCTACGGAGAGCAGCGCAACGCCTAAACCATCTCACCTCGGGCTCTCGCTACCTGTCCAAAACGGCGCTTTTTGGCCCAAAAAAAACGGTCATCAACGATGTCACCGCTTTGTCGAAAAGTGCGCAAAAGGCTTGGAAAAGCGAGTTCGTGTGGTAGCACGGGAATTTTAAGTGGAGGATTTTTACCCTCACTGCCAGCATGCTTCAATTCATCGCCTCATGCCCAGTGGCCGATTTTATAGGACACTGCGCCACTTCGCGCGCGAGTCGACTCTCTTTGGGGCCGAAAAGTGCGCAATGGAAAAGCGAGTTCGTGTGGTAGCACGGGAATTTTAATTGAAGGACCGAGTCACCGCCGAGCTGGCCTCAAAGCTGGACAGCAGCGCGCTGGCGCCGGCGATTGCGCCCCTAGCAACGGCTGCGGCCCTGGCCACCACTGACGGACAGGTGGCCGCGCACGGAAGCAGCATCGCAGCGCTGCAGAGCTCGCTGACCACGGGTCTCTCCAACCAGGCAGACCAGTCGGCCTTCGACGTGCTGGAGGGCGTGGTTGCCACCAAGAGCACCCCGGACGGCGTGGACCTGAAGCTGTCCAACTACAGCACCACGGCGGCCATGAACGGCTCCATCGCCTCGGCCAACAACGCCACGCTGGCCACGGTGGCCGCCAACTACGGTCTCAAGACGGTGGTGGACCAGCACTCCCTGGACATAGCGGCGAGGATCACGCCGCTGGAGGTGGACACCAAGGTGGCCAACGCTCTCCTGGGGGCCGTCACCGCCGCGGCGCTGGCCTCCGAGCTCGCCTCCATCTCGGGGCTGCAGGCCTCCAAGGCAGACGCCAGCGCCCTGACTGCTTACGCCCTGCAGTCGGCCGTGGACACTTCCTCGGAGGTGGACTCTAAGATAGCGACGGCCCTCTTGGACGCCGTCACCACGGCAGCCCTGGACGCCGCCCTCCTCGGCAAGGCGGACGCAAGCGCGCTGGCCTCCCTGCTCTCCACGGTGGACGGGTTGGACACGCCGCTGGAGGTAGACACCAAGATAGCAAATGCCCTGCTGGGTCTCGCCACCGAGGCCTTCGTCGCAGCGCAGCTTGCTAGCCGGGACGCCAGCATCACGGCGCTCCAGGGGGCCAAGGCCGACGCGACGCTGCTGGCCTCATACGCCACGAACGCCGCGCTCTCGGCCAGCGAGACCACGCTCCAGAGCGCCCTCGACGCAATCCTCGCGGAGCTCGCAGCCCTGCAGCTTTCCGGCAGCGGCGGAGTTGTTAACGCGCCGGCCTGGGCGGGCTTCACGACTTGGGAGCTCGTTCGCGGAAGTAACG